TCGATGGGACCTTCCCTCCGAGTTGTGGTTGCAACCGTTGCGCTGTCACGCTGAATCACTGTTTGAGCAAGGTCACACCAACGTGTACCCATGCTACAAGGTCGGGCCAAATCACCCTCCATCAACTAACATGAATAAATGGAAAAGCAAGAAGGGATAAGATCATAAATGAATTCACCCATAGAAACTTAGGAGTAGCTCCTGAAAAAATGAGGGAAAGTATACAAAAATGCTTTGGTCATGTGCATAGAATATCATCAATAGACCAAACAAAAGAAGTGATTTGTTATAAGTTGAAGGGGCTATAAGGGTCTGATTTAGAGAAAATTTCAGACCAAACTAATAAATTATGATTTGAGAAATTCTCAAACCAAACCAAACTAGACTCATAATAGTACATTATGGGTTATTCTATTGGGTTTAACCCAATTAGAAAAGCCTAAGTATACTTACATAAATAACAAATATAATTCAAATATCAAATTGAAATGTTAACAAGTGCCACTTATTATTATTATATAAATTATATTCAAACTTCCTCAAAACATAAATGACTCCTTGGAGATCACATCTCTGCCTCACAACGCCCCATAGCGTATCCCCACCATGTATTGGGAACACCTCCTGATGATGACATCATCGGTTCTAGTTAGAGGTGTAAATCGGGTCGTGTTACCCGCAGTCCGGCATGACTCGACATGAACTTGGACCGGCCCAGCACGACCATGCGGGCCATGCTGGGCCTGAGGTTTTAGGTCCATGGGCCGGCACGACCGAGCGGGCTGTGCCACTTGGTCCAGCACTACCCACATATATTTTATATATTATATATATATATATTTATATATATTATATATAGTTATATAATATTATATAAATTATAGTTATATAATAATATATTAATAAAATAAATATTTTTTTTAATTTTATTATACTAATTTATTTAATAATTACATATATAAGCAATTTTATACACAAAATTCATATAAAATTAAAATTTTAAGTTTTTTGTCAATTTTTTTAAATAAATAGCTTTGGCCCGATGCACGGCCCGACCTGGCCCAAGGCTCGGCCACGGGCCTGGGCCGCCGACCCCCAAAATTTTCACCGGGAAGGGTGGCGAGACCCTTGACGACTTGCGGGCCAGCACGGCATGACCCACTTTGCACCTCTAGTTCTAGTACTATCATCGGGAGATGTTCCCAATACATGGCGGGGATGTGCTGTGGGGTGGCCCCTTGTGGGGCGGAGATTTGAACTCGACTCTTTGGGCATCAAATTACAAATTAAAAATTTAAACAAACAAGAATGGTGTATGGAATGTAAAATGAATACATACATACATATGTTTAAACGTATGTATTATATATATATATATATATATATATATATTAGTAATTCGGTTTAATATGGTTTTGGTTTCATCTCTTTTCTAAAATTTAGAAAACAAACCAAACTGTTTTAAGGTAAAAGCAGACCAAATCGCCAATTACTGTTTGGTTTAGTGCGGTTTGGTAGTTTAGACCATTTAATGAACACTCCTGTATACCAAATAGGACATGGGTAGTGGGGTAGAAGTAATAAGAAATGATTAATTTAAGCACACATAATTTAACGATAAATATGCCATTAAATATAATAGATTGGCGAAACAAGATTAGTCTAGATGTAATTGACGACATATGGTTGGGATAAAGCATGGATGATGATGATGAAACTCTCCTCCATCGTATAAAAAAAGGAGAATCTACTTTGAAGTTAGACTTTGATGGTGTTTGGTAGTGTGGGTGTCTTTTGGGATCAATTTTCGAAAAAAAAAAAAAAACTGTCTACGCCTACTAACCCGTTTTTCACAATTAAACACCATCCTTATGTTTGATAGTGTTTCTGTCACGTAGGCAATAAGCAACACTTTTCAAGTGGAAAGGTTGTTTGGTATGGTGATTTCCGTCACCGTTTTTCATGTATGTGCACCCATTACTCTGTATAATAATGCATTGCTAATATTATGTCATATTATATAATGATGCTTATCGAACGGTTCAGATTAATTGGATAATTGATTTCTAATATCTAGCTTAAAATATCAAATCTAATAGTTAAAATTATTGTTGGGTTGGATCCAAAAACCCAACATGAATAATGACATCATATCCAACGGCTGTGAATGATTCAATAAAAAAAATACACGTAATAAAACCATATTTAATTTTCAAATAATCACCTGTTAGGCCCAATTCATGTGGAACTGGGCCTAATGGTTTGTGAGTTAATATTTTGGCTTTACCGTTTCATTTGGACAATTTCTTTTAATTAAAACACATACATGGAATTGTAAAAATTTAGTGGATACCCTTGGGTCATCAGCCTCATCCCAAATTCAATATGTCTACTTACATCTGCACATCATCACCGAATTAAGGCTTGTCCCAACTGTATGGGTATACTTTTTCTTTTTATTCAATACTACATGAATCATGTTTCGCTGTTTCATTAATATGTGCTCTTTAATCACTTCTTACCACTCACTTTCCAGCACCAAACACCAAAAGCCCCAAACCTAATGAAGGTAAGTTTCAATGCCAAGTCTCCATATTCGACCATTTAACACTTTCATTTGACCATGAGCATGATTCAATTTAACTGTAGAGTTGTCTTTTGATAAATTCATTGTCTAGTCCATTGTGCCAGTAATTTATAAAAGAATTTCTCAACTCATAAGATTGTACCACCATTTTCATTTGTACTAATCTACCTCTTGATCGGAGATGAAAAATGAACTACACGAATACTTAGTATGCTCTGTAAATTCCTTTGAACACATAAAAACGAGAAAATGCCAGTTTTAGAGAAAATTTCCCATGAGAAATAGTACAGAAAACCTAAAATCTAAATAATATTACAATACCTCCTCTAGTGACGATTGCAACGGCTGAGCAGTGAGAGAGGAAACAGTTCAGCGGCAAAGAAGAAAAATGCACAGATTCTGTGAAACCCTTCTTACCATTGTGTTTGAAGTTTCCATGGGTCGAGAATCACCGGAACATTCTAACTATGGACAGCTCATATAACATCTAGGATACACGTAAGCGCCACACCACATAACTGTTGGATGCAATGGCTCACCGATGCATGAAATGTCAAATTATCAGGAAGCATGTGATTTACGATGTGTGCCCATTTTTCATCATTTTTCCAAAAAATCGCCTGAACCAAACATGGTAGGCATTGAAAAGTGAAATCACCAACGTGGCTCCAATGTGACACCGTTTTTCAGATAAACGGCATCGATCATCCCCTTTAGAGTATACCTATTCATGAGCCAGGTAGCCCAATGGATTGACCCAACTCGGCTCATTCTTTTGTTGGGCTTAGGTAAAATCTTAGGCCTAGACCCAATCTTAGCTTGATAATATCACACATAATAAAAATATATATAAATAATATACAATATAAAAATAATATATAATATATATTAATTTATTAAATTATTACCAAATCAATATAATATTAATTGATTAAACTACACAATAGGTAGGTGTTTCTATGTCTAAATTGAGCTTTTGGCTTGAAGCCCCACTTTAGGCTTTATATCAGGGCCAGACTTGAGCTTGGGCTTAGACATTTTCTACTAATAAAGAGACAAAGTCTAACCTAGCCCAGCCTGTGAACATGTCTACTTTGGAGTTGATCAATCTTCCATTGTTCAACCTTCTTCGTTGGATAACACGAGAAAGAAAATTGGCTGTTGGCTATTAGCTGGAGTACATGGAAAAGATATCCAATAGTGTAATTTATTGGAATCTTAACAATATGACCGGGCAAGGTCAATAATATATATATATATATATATATATATATATATATATATATATATATATTGCGTTTTTGTAATTTTTTATAAAAAGACATGAGACATGTATATAATTATATATGACAAAAAAAGTGAAAACAATGTTTGTATTTTTTATTTTTCTTGTTATGTTTTTTTCATTTTAAAGAAATTAAATCGGATTGATCATATCCAACATACTTTAACAGATTCAAATTCGAATTAACGTTCTTTTTGAGATCCATCGATCGAAATGAGATTTATAGTATCGGATCGGATTCGGATATATGATTGGAATCCGATCCGATCGTTTTCATCCCTATTAACTCTAGTGAGGAGATGTTTGCAACCGTTGGATTTCATAAATAGTGGGACAGGCTAGAAAAGGTTCTGATATAATCGGTGTCCGGTGATAAGGTAGTCACGTTCACGGCACGTGCTTTGAAACGGTTAACGGCGGTAAGTCTGTAGCTAACTTGGACGCTGACAGCTACAAATTCCCGCCTTCAAACTCTTTTATAAAATCCAAGCTGGAACCATGGCCTGGGAAAACTTCTCGTGCCTGTAACCAAGAACCAGCCTCTCTCTCTCTCTCTCTCTCTCTCTCTCTGTTTCTTTCTGTGCCTGCAACCAAGAAAGCTTCTTTAGTGTTTAAAGGTGATATTCAAGCTCTAATTTCTTGTTGTTTTATCATGATTCTTGAATCATGTTTTCGAATTTGCTGTTGGTTGTAGACGAATTTCTCATTAGAAGTTTAGAGGGTTTTGCTTTCCTTCTTTTTGATTTTATTTTTCGTTAAGAATGTCAGATTTCCACGTTTTTTTGCAAACATTCTGCAGCTCCGATTTAAATGTCCAGAGTTCTCTGTTTTGGTTGTTCCATTATGATTTTCGTCTATAATCTGAGTGTCCTTGCGTTTTTTTATTTACTTTATGAATAGTTTGTAATTTTCACTTCGTTATGATCTGAAACGATGATCTACTTGAATTTCTATTTCCACGCTTAAACTGATGGTTTTTGTGAAGAAGACACTATTTTATGTATCTTTGTATTTTTATTCGGTTCTTGAACATTTTCTTGAGCTTCATCATCCATTATCTCCTGCTTCTCACACCTTGTTTCACTGTGTATTTTGTTCGTGTCCTAACGGTTTCACGTTTATCTGCAGTTCTTGATTCCGCCTAGCGCGCAGAAATAATGGCTATCTTCTATGTTCGGCTTCTTTTCACTGCATTTCTACTTTCCGTACCTTTGGTCTTGCCGACCTATGGATTGACTGATCCAGTCGACGGTATTTCCTTCGGTCCTCTGTTTTTATAATTCGTTTCTTACTCTCTAGTCTCTTCTTCTTTCGTTTTTTACGAAAATCTCTTCACTGTGATTCATTTTATATTACTGTACTGCCGATACGATACAAAATTGTATTGGGCGATATTTGTTATCTACCCGATACGTCAGTTGTTGGGCTTATTCATGCTTCTTCTGTTAAACACCCAATTGCTAGTTGTGGGCCCATAACCTGGTTGATTGGTAGCGACGAATTCACATCTGCGCCCCACTGCCGCCTCACATGCACATCTGAGCGTGCACTGGGAACATCTCCCGTACTAGTCATTGGGAGATGTTCCCATTGCACGGTTTGGATGTGTTGTGGGGCGCATTCAGTGGGTCGCTGATGTGATCTCGGTAGAAATCCGCTTGATCATTCCCACTATAGTTTATTCTAGGGAGAATGACTGCATTGAGCTGCAGTGTACTTAACCCCTTTCTTCTATGGGCTGTATATAACGTATACAATGTTCATGACACTGAGCCCTGTTTAATCAAATACCCCCATTACCCATGGGATGATTCTTCATTTTACTTCTGCAGCCACCGCTCTTCGGAATCTTTACACGTCTTTGAACTGCCCATCACAGCTGAAGGGGTGGAACTTGAACGGCGGGGATCCCTGTGAGGAATCGTGGACAGGGGTCTCATGTTCTGGATCATCCGTCATATTCATGTAACACAGTAGCTACTTTTTTTTTTATTCATTTACCTAGTCTGTCTGCCTACTCTTTTCAGCGGATATTGCCAGTTTCCCAACTAAACTACTCCCTTCATGCAGCAAGCTTCATGGGTTAGGCCTTGGTGGAAATCTCGGGGATCAGCTCTCAGGTCTCCTCAATTTAAAGCAGCTGTGAGTTACTTTTGCAGGTCATTGGGCGAAATTTGGTCAGTGCGTTTTACGGAAATTGTTTTTTTTTTAATATATTTTTTGTGGGTCCCTTGTATTAGGGATGTCAGCAACAATAAACTTCAGGGTGAAATTCCTTTCAGTTTACCCCCAAATGCCACACATATGTAAGTTTACTGTTTTCATCGGTTTTGTTCCTACCGCATGATGCTTTGATAATACGTTAGTTTTTTCACGTTTATATTTACTCTGTTATTGTTAATGCAGAAATTTGGCATGCAATAATTTCAGCCAGTACATACCGAACTCCTTAACTTCCTTGAAATACCTACATCATCTGTGAGTTGTTTTTCTCCCCTAATTGTGCATTTTATGATTTCTAGTTTATGAGTACTGAGTCATATCTTGGTGCAGGAATCTTAGCCACAATTCCTTATCTGGTCCCATCGGAAATGTATTTACTGGTTTGCAGAATCTAAAAGAAATGTATGACATCTTCACTACGTTTAGATGAAGTAGAGTGAAAAGAAACATGTATGATTTGTTGGGCGGTTAATTTGATTTGTAGATAACATTTGAAAACAAATTTAGATGAACTGGAATGAAACAGATACATGCATATTTTGTTCAGGCCATTACTCCATTTATAGATGAAACTTTTGAAACCAAAATTTTTAGATTAATTTTTCTAAGTGCTGTTCATTTAGATTGTTGCTTATGGTGTTAGCTTGTGTTTGGTGGTCCTTGTTGAATCTTTAGACAGATAATGCTGGACTTTTTTGGTTCATTAAAATCACAAGTTATAATGTTATCTGTCATCCTTACTGGCTAACTACCATTTGTTTGGTTCCAAGATGAATTTGAAACAATTTAAGATATCTTAATTGCTGTTTATAGTCATGAGCTTGCTTTTTGATCCCTTTTACCATCCATTTTTGGACTCTTCTGTGGAATCATGTCTTGAAATATCTGCAGTTGGTTGCCTGCCTTACTGTTTTATTCTGTCATTAAGAAAAGGGTGTTTCGGTTCTTATCCCAAATTTATGTGGTTGGCTACATGATTCCTCCACGATATGAAGTGTACTTGATAGTCAAATAGTAATTATTGGTTTTTATCTTATTTTTCAGGGATTTATCCTACAATTATTTCACTGAAGATCTCCCTAGTTCATTTGGATCATTGACAAATCTTAATAGGCTGTAAGTTTAAATGGATGAGACTTATGTGTACTGCATTGTGAATGATACATTTGTTTTATTATTTTTTATTTTTACCTATGTTTTTTTGTGGCATGTGTGCAGATACTTACAGAATAACAAGTTTACCGGATCTGTTATCCTGTTGGCCAATCTTCCATTAACTGACCTGTAGGGTTCAATAAGATTTAATTTTTGTTTTATTTCATATTTCTGTTTAAATTATTATCTTATAACAATTTTGATTGTATTTCTTTGTCACAGTAATATACAAAATAACAACTTCAGTGGTGTTATTCCAAGGGAATTCCAATATATACACAATCTATGGTTAGCTTTTATCTAATTTGAATGACTTTTCTATTTATCTTTGTTTGATTCATTATTGAATGATGCACTCAGTATTTATCTCCCTACTTCTTGTTAGGATTGGTGAAAATATGTTTCGTACGGTAGCCAGTTATCCTCCCTGGGATTTTCCTGGGGATCAGCCTATTGACCAGAACATCAGCATCCCCCCAAGAACACAGTCCAGTGCCATTGCAAGCTATCCCTCCCTTAGGGTAGTAAAAAACAGGCAAAAAAGGTTGGGTCCTGGTGGGATAGCTTTTATGGTTGGTGGAGTTACTCTTATTGTAACCTGTGCAGCATTCATTATTGCAGTCCGCATTAATCGATCCCGTTCACGTATGCAAAAGATCTTGGAGACAAATGCTAGCTCAATACACTCTCTTCCAATCAGTACCTATATAGGTATAATCCTGTTTGAACAACCACTTTGCTAATCTGGGTTCTTTTTATACAAATGTAATTGATTATTCTCTAGTTTTTCAATGTTCTGTCCTAATACTTTTGCTGTTATTTGTGTTTTCCTCTTTTATTTTCTGGTACCATTCTTATATCAATAATTTACTTTAATAGTCACAAAAGAATCTATTCCTATATTTAGAAAAACTAATATATGACCTTACCTTGTTTCTTTGGTAGTCGGTAGCTACTACGATAGTTTATTTTAACTATCATTTGCAGATTTTGCTTCACTTTCTTAACATATTCTTCCTTCATATATCTGCTGAGTTCAATCTTGTCATTTCAACCCTTTCTTCTTGGTTGTATGGGTTGAATTACTAATTTTACTTCACAGCTTGGAACTCTTGCTTCCTTTATGGCAGCGAAGTTCTTTTATTGTTCTTCAGTATGAAATAGCTCTTGACCTAATATATGGATCCCTGTTTTTTTTTGAAAGGTAAAGTAAATTTATTCAAGAAAGAGAAATTACAGCAACTCCCAGACCAAAAGGAAGGTCTAGAAGCAAATCAAGTTACAGACTCCACCAAAACTGAGAATTAAACAAATGAGACAAATTCAAGGTTCTTAAAGTCCTGAGTAACAGACACCCAAGACATCAGCTTGCCTACAGCTCTCTGCATTAGCTCTTCTGGGATTTTAACTCTGTTACAGAAAATTCTATTATTTCTTTCAGCCCAAACAGACCACAAAACAGCTGCTGTAATGGTTTTCCAACTAGTTTTCCTTTCTTGTTTAGGCCTTTAATTTTCCAACAGCACGGCAGGTCCTTGACTGATCTTGGCATAACCTAGTTAATACCCAGAGCTTTCAGGAAATGTCCCCACACCAGGGAGGAAATCGGGCAGTGAATGCACAAGTGATCTGTAGTTTCTGGGTGCCACGTCTCTCCAGGTTAGATCTAGTCAAACATTTATCTAGAGCTATTGTCCAAACAAGAAATTTAGACTTGGAGGGGCTTGTTGGATTCCAATTCTGATTGGCAGGAAAAGCTGAAGGACCTGAACTGTTCAGCTTGAGAAATAAGGATTTAACAGAGAAGTAACCATCTGAATTCCATTTCCAGCTCCATTCATCCTCCAAATTTATATCTATCTTCTGATTTTGAAGTAGCCCCAACAACTCCACAGATTCTTCCAACTCCCAATCAAACAGACTTCTCCTGAAAAGGGGGGTCCAAATAATGGTTCCTCCAGAAAAGTTGTAAATCTCAGCCACTGAAGAGTCTAATGCTAGATTCCACTTTGGAAAAAGATATATGATCAAAGCATCAGTTTATCCATTTTAACTCTATATTTAATAAACTTTACAAGGTTCTTCTTCCATGTACACAAGAAATTAGGAATAGATATAGCCTGCAGTAGGGTATAATATGGTTATTTAAGAGATTCAGGTAAAAAGAAAGGGAGAGTGATTTAGGAAGAATCTTCACAAAACTTTCTGTTGTGATCTTTTTACACATTACATTGGCTAATAAAAGTGAAGAAAAATAACCATTTTTTGAAAATTCCATTAAATATTTTACTTCATTAATGGTATGCACCCTAAAATGTTTGAAGAAGCTTGGACTATCCATACCTTGAAACAAGACTTTTAAACTTCTAGTGCATGATTGAATAATCATTAGGAGCTGAGCAACTTTCTCTCTGCGTAATTTTTGATGACAAATTGATATGTCATCCCCTTGTGCAGTGTTGCTTCTATTAATTGTACTGCTGTTTTCCTCTTGTAGGTAGTCCTGTTAGCATTATTATTAGGTTTAGGTTCTACCTTCCTACAACCTTGTTCCATCAGTCATGCTTATGTCTTTTCTATATCTGTTGTATGGCATATAAACTCTTTTGGCTTTATTTCTATTTAATGATCTTGGTTTAAGATGAATTTCAGGGAGAACCTTGTTTTTAATGAGTTTGGTTTGGGGATAAATTTATGTATGGACTGACAAGTTGCATTTTTATGTTGTAGTTATCAAATCAGCCCTATTTGATGATTTTAATCTTCCATCTTATTTTGACCTTTCTTAGATAAAAATAAAAGAATTAGATCTGTAGTCTATGCCCAGATTTTGGTCACCCAATGAGCTAACTTTTGGCGAGGGAGGGAGAGTCTTCTACATGGGGTTCAGCTATTGGAAGGTTTGTGTAACGTGCACCATCTGTGCAATATGGACCAGGAACTATTTCATGTATTGCAACTGGGTCTCTGTGATTTGTTAAGATGCCATTTGTTCGGGAACACCTTGTTGATGACTCATAGCTGCATCTAGAGTTAAATGGAACTGAAGAACATTTATTTATTGAATATGAGCAATTTCTTCAGGAAGAAACTATCAAATCTGAGGCTGAAAAGATAGGATTAGAAATATATTTTATGCTTAAAGCACTTATAAAGAAGTAAAAACATTGTAAATGCTTTAAAACCAAATTTTTTGTAAAATTTGTTTGATATACAGTTGGCAATAGTTAATAATTTAAGCTTAAGGTGAGCGGTTAAATCCTGTATCAGGATGGAAATAAGAATGGAAAATACATTTCTAAGAAGGAAAATGTGGATAAAGAGACAATAATACAAGCCATGATGGAGGAGGAAATGATACACATTTATCTTCTATTTCGGGTAAGCATAGAATCCCTTGACTTGGTGTTAGTAAGTGAAACTTGTTTCTGTCTTGTGTATGCCATCTTGCTTGTATTATTTTGGCTGGAGCTATCTTATATGCATCTTCTTATTACTTGCCTTATTGGTGGTACTGCAATAGACTGTTCTCTTGCCACACCAGAAGTGAACTCCCAAAGCACGGTGAGTGGGTCTCCTGCAACGACTGCTCCAAGGCATTTACCCTCTGTTCGTCACATTAGAATTGAAAATATCTCTAGAAAAAGTTTCTCAAGAAGCAGAACTCCTGCAACTGCAAAGGCATACACTGTTGCAGAGATCCAATCTGCTACAAACAACTTCAGTGAGGACAACCTTCTTGGAGAGGGTTCTCTAGGTTCTGTTTACAAAGCGGTGTTTCCTGATGGCCAAGTATGTTTTTAATGCCTGAAATTATAAAATGAATGCTTCCGTTGTAAGTTTGATTTTATTTGAAACTCAATCAAGTTATGGATATCTCATATTTACCCAGACCTTGGCTGTGAAGAGCACAAGGATGGTGGCACTTTCTCTCCATGAAGAGGAGCAAGTCCTGGATGTTATCTTTAAGGTGGCACGTTTGAGGCATCCAAATATTGTCACACTTGTTGGCTATTGTGTGGGGGATGGACATCATCATATTGTCTATGAGTATGTCAAAAACTTCTCACTTCATGATGCTTTGCACTGCAATGCTTACAAACCTTTGCCATGGATCTGCCGTGCCAGAATTGCCCTCGGTATTGCCCGGGCACTGGAGTAAGTATTCCATATTGTTGTGTAGCTCTTTGACATGAAGCAGGAAACTAGCTATTTCCTCTTATTATTTTCTGATTTTCAGTGGTTTCATTTTTATTATATGATATTTCAGCTATATCCACCTATCATGTTTGCCTCCTTTGGCTCATAGTAATTTAAAGGCCACCAACATTTTGCTTGATGATGAGTTTATTCCTCGTTTATGTGACTGTGGGCTAGCTACTCTGAGGTCCCTTACTAGCAATAGTGTTAAACTTAAGGTATGTACTTCCTAGAGTAATAAACATATCCCTGATATAGTTAATGGGATGGTGGGGACAGGGTAGCAACTAAAATTGACCAACAATGCAAACAGGCTTCTGAAATGGCTATTAGCTATGCTGGTTATATTGCCCCTGAACATGGCCGACCTAGTCTGGATAACACAAAGAGTGATGTCTATGCTTTCGGAGTGTTGCTTTTGGAGCTTCTCACAGGAAGGAAACCTTTTGACAGGTTGGTGAATGGTTATCCTTCTTGTGAGCTATACCTTCATGTCTTGCTGCCTTCTAATTTATATCATGTTTCATGATGATGATATCTTCTCTCTTTTTTTTTCCTGGTAGTTCAAAATCAGCTGAAGAGCAATTTTTGGTGAAATGGGCCTCATCCCATTTGCATGACTATGAGTCTTTGGAAGAGATGGTTGATCCAACAATTAAACTGACTTTCTCCTCCAAGGTTCTATCCCGGTTTGCTGATATTATCTCTATCTGTATTCAGGTAAAATGAATGTGCTACTAATTAAAGCTTACATTTATTTTGAAAGAGAAATAGGTGTAGTTTAACATGTATCTCATACATAAAGGCTTGCATTTAAATTGTTGTGTGTACATTAATGCATCTGTGAAAATGTTTACTAATAAGATTTTCTAACACCAAGATGTTTATGTATATATGTATGCATGCATGTGACTGGAACTCCAACAGCCCCAACCAGAATTTAGGCCATCAATGTCTGAAATTGTGGAATCGCTTATCTTTCTGATTCAAAGGACGGACACTGCCCAAAAGAATGGCGTTGATATTGAAGCCTCAGAGATGTCTTTCAGAACATCTGAAACCCGCTTCATGGAATCTCCATTTGGCTATGCTCTCACCTAACCTTCAGAATTAGAGTTTCATTCATCATAATCCATCTGGTTCTTTTCCGTGTAATTGTAAGTTCAGTTTTGTATGAGAAAATACTACACACACAAAAAAAAAAGAAAGAATTTCTGTTTTCCTTTCCATTTTCTCTACAGTAGAGCTGTATCTGATGATGTAAAGAAAGAAAGGTTGAGGGAGCTAGAGTAGTCCAAATAATGGAATTTACATTATCTTGCACATTTACATTTCCAAGTTCCAATCTATACCTTGGATGAATTGAAACGGATATTGTGGTTCCTGTGAGTGTGGCAGTGGCACCAAAAATCAAATACCGTGAATGCCTTCTGGGTTGGGTTGGATGTTACCAAAATTCCACTTAAACATGAATTATTTATATATAAGCTCATACGTTGTTTACAGTCAATAGAGTTGCACATCAGATTGCTAGATTTGCTTGTTCTGTTCAAACTTCAAAGCATATCTGTATTTGGTAGTCGTCTGAACCATCCTTTACATGATCTCATTCTACTTGATTCATCTATAAATGAATGAATGCTCTGATGCTTCCACTTCAAAGAAAAAAAAAAAGCCTTTCTATTACTATTAAACAGATACTTCGTTTATATTTTTCCCTTCACGTCAATGGTTATAAGTTCACATTTATCTGTGCCTCACAAAGTGCGTCCCATGGGCACCCCACATGTAGATATAGATGTGTATGTAAATAGAAAGTTTAACAGTTCAGCCCACAAGGTATTCCAACTCGCGAAACTCCACTGTCTATCATCTTTTATTCTAAATGACTATCAGGATGGGATACCTAAAGTGGAAGACTAGCTTAAGCTTAATATAACGAATCTTTCAAAAAAAAAAAGGCACCCCAAATGTACATCTCAGTGTGCATTGGTAACATTTCCAAAGGTTGTCATTGGGAGATATTTCTAATACGGGTTGGGATTAGCGTTCTATGGGGCACAAATGTGAATTCAATGGTTATACCCCACAATGGTCCATCCATATTTATTCTATCCCCTCCCCAATCCACTTTAGTTTTTGGCCCCCTTCAAGAAATTCCTGGCTCCGCCCTTGGCGAGTAGATCCAGGATCCTTCCAACAGTGGATCCACATCTTCTGATGCATGTGATCCACACGCCTGTCTAAGGATGGTCCTGAACTTGGGTGGACACAAAAATCATATACAGTCAGCTGACCGGCTGAACAACCTATCATGAGTGAGATACATCAGTGCTCCATATGCATATTAAATGTAGACCCTATCTGAGCTATCCGAGCCCAATGTGTATAGAACCCTGGAGTGTTCATTGGAGATAAATTTTACCAATCATCATATGTTAATTTAGAAAATACGATTTCATTGTCTTTATTTTGGAAAATCCGATTTAGACAGAAATTGAGTTTTTGAAAGTTCACTACAAACGGACGATTTGTGGTCGGCTTGTTCTAATCCGTTAGGAGACGATTGATTTAAAAAGAAAACAAATCTAATCACATCATCGTTCTAAAATTTTCACTGTATCAGGCCCGGGTTTCCAGGGTGGATCCATTCAAATTTTAACTCGAGCCCACCCAAGTTGCCGAGTCATGGACTGCCCGGAGTTGGATTCATGCATCCCTTGAGGCTTAAATTTGGAAGAATCCTATATTTCCAACCTCCAGCCATCCAATTTGACGCGTAGACCATACATAGAGAAAGATACTTTGAAATTATCTATCCCTATGCTACTGACTGCTTGCTCATTTGTCGTTGTCGACTAGGGTTGAACTTTGAATTAAATTTGGGTTTGATCCAGTTAAACTTGAGCTTGGATTGAAAGGCCTAAGGTTTTTGTTTTTTTGGGTGATCTGAAAGGAAAGGATACAGTTGGATTAGGCCATTTAACACAGTCCATGATTTGTCCCAGAGAATAATATTAGTCTTGAAACGACCCAAAGTCCAGGGGAGGACAAGCAAGCCAGTATTCTGGTGGTGGTGGGCCACCTCCTTTTTTTTTATTGGGTCTGCAAACAAACCAAATTGAATCCGATATCGGTAGATGCAAATTTTATTTGTTTATATTCGAATTGAATTTGGATTACAATCGGATCAAAATGGGCAAAATATAATATAGTATTATTAAAATGAATGAAAAATGATTTTAATGTTGTATTTCATAAATAAAATGATGGATTGAAAATTATTTTCATGAAACTTGAATCTATGTCAACTTAATAAAAAACAAGGATAAAAGACTTAAAAATATCTTGAGTTTTCATAAATTGACTTAAACATATTTTATGGACTAATCCCACACGATTAGAATATATTCTCCATCTGAAAAAGCACATGTGAAGTCATTTAGAATTAAAAAAAAAAAAATCTTATTTTTCCCTTAGGGAAGAAGAAAAAATAAAGGAATTTTAAAATTTTGAAAGAAAATAAAAGATAAAAGAATCATAAAATATATATTTAAGTTTTTTTTTACCAAAAAACAACATTGAAACCAAATTTACTAATCTATCTACCTATATATTAATAAAGTTTGTTTCATACCCATAAGATATGAATGCCATGCAAGCCCATGTATACAATACACTGTCGTGTTTACTGTTGATAGATTACTTAGACCACTTTATCCCTAGTCCATCCAAACTCTATTTTAACATTTTACACGAGTTGGATCACCTACCAACAAAAATCATTCCAACATAATCTTACACGGCACATCTCATAATGAGACTGGACCCAACCATAAAAGTGAGACCCACAATGAATGAGAATGAGATGTGCGGTGTGGAGGGTGTTAGAATGCGTTTTGTTAGCAAATGATCAGGACTCCTTCATTGACTCCCGTGTCCTTTCCATGAAAAAGGTAATTGGGTGTGCCCAAATCAACAACCCAATGCTTTTCCCTGTTTTATTTTTACGGTTGGAATAAGCGCAGGTGATTAGGCAGACAGGCCACCAACCATACCTTTTGTTAAGTGTAATTTGGTGAATAATTAAGTAATTCGGTCAAAAGTTTGGGTTGGGCCCTAAATACCCTCTGCCCATGAAAGGTGGGTCCATGTAGAGGCTCCTTCTCCAGTTCTCCTTGCTTGATCCAATGGATGAGGCACCAAATCCAAAAGCAGTAGTATAGCCATTCAAAGCCGCCTAAAGCCCATGGTATTATTATAGCCAATAATATATAACTATATACCATATGGTCCTACAGTACTAGTACTAGGAAGTAAGAACCAAACAGATCCTTAATTTGCAATCACATGGAAAAAACATTTGTGGAAATTGATGACCACATTCATGGAATTTAATACTCTTCTTTACCAACCAAGCAAGGTGGGTTATGGGTTATTCAGATTTATTGCTTCAAGCTATAAGTATAATATAATTTTCCAAATTGCTAATTAAGCGCGTAAAGGAATGAATCAGTAGTCCCATCTGTGATCGGTGGAGTGTATTCTTCCATCCAATTAAGTCTAGAATTGAACTGCATAGTGCATTCCCACTTTATTCCACATTGATTGTTACTTATCTAGCATCCAAGCAATTACTTATTAGCAGCAAAAATCAGCCCCACTTTATTCCTTTTTCTTTGTCTTTTATTAAGGAGGTGGTGGTTCGGCGAACTTACATGAATTAATCTCAAACTCTTTAATTTTGAATGGACAATTGAATTTTAACGTTGGATATAATATTTCTTTTCGTGTACGTATAGTCTCCTTCCAGTTCGAATTTGCTCCTCACAGCACTTGGGAGCCGCACATCTGGGATATCTTTGCATCTGTAATTTATCATTATTCAAGGGGAGATGGTCCCAATGCATGTCTGCAACGTGCTGTGCTACCTACCTGCTATATATATATATATACTTTGATTAATGAATTGAAACAAATAGATTATTGATATTCATTGTGAATTGTGATATGATATATATTTCAATGGTGATTCGTGAAGGCTTATTTGCTCTCCTTAGCTTATTCCTCGTTCTGGTGGTCGAATTGTTGGGTCATGCCGAGAGTAGTGTTAGAATTAGTAATGTCTCAGCTTCATTCGGCAGAAGCAAATTTCCGTCGGATTTCGTTTTCGGAACAGCTTCAGCTTCTTATCAGGTTTGTCATCACTCTTCAATTATCTAGCTAGGTGCTGGAAATCTCATTCTATCATCACCTTCTTTATATGGAAGCTATCGGAATCAATGTGTCCGACTGTTCAGTTTTCTCATGGTTTTAACAGTATGAGGGAGCGGCAAATGAAGGCGGAAGAGGTTCATGCATTTGGGATACCTTCACTCACACATACCCAGGTTTCTCTCTCTCTCTCTCTCTCTCTCTCTCTCTCTCTCTCTCTCTGTAGCTAAACGCAGTGCATTAATGGTGTGCAGGTAAAATAAAAGACGGCAGCAATGGAGACGTTGCCATAGACTTTTATCATCGCTATAAGGTATTCTGCACTATTTTGCCTCAAAATTTCCCTCTCTTTTGCACGTTATGAGTATGAATGGTATGCAGAAAATATTTTTCATTTTTTTCTGGGGCTGCTGGGGATTTTGAGTTAATTTTGAACCATTGATTTCTGTAGGGTATGTTTGGTTTGATGGGAAGTAAGTAGAGAGAAACAGAAAAGTTATTGATGAGGAATGGTGAGATTTCTGTAATTAACCTGTTTGACATGAATGACTTATACAGGAGGACGTGGGGATAATGAAAGAAATGGGGTTGGATGCCTTCAGGTTCTCTATATCTTGGTCCAGAATATTGCCAAGTAAATACTTGTTTTGTTGGTTTTTTGGCAAACTAAATATATTACTTGGTTATTGCCTAATTATTTCATTAATCTATCTATCTGTAGTTATTTCTTCATTTCTTTCTTATTTCCATATTAATTTATCTTTTTTTTTTTCTGAATGTTATTGAAATCTCAGATGGAAAGTTAAGTGGGGGAATGAATAGGGAAGGCATCACATTCTACAACAATCTCATCAATGAGCTTTTATCCAAAGGTTTACAACCTCTCTCTCTCATCTCATAAGTCATTGGGCCATGATGATGAGAACCTTAATCGTTCTCTGTTGTTTCAATTTCAGGTTTTCTCTTATTGATTGCTTAATTTCATGTGTAGGTATTCAACCTTTTGCGACTCTCTTCCACTGGGATCTTCCACAAGCACTAGAAGATGAGTATGGTGGTTTTCTAAATGCTAAAATTGTGTAAGTGGCTCCTAACAATTCTAATTCTATCCCTAGTTAGAGAGCTAATATTTAATTAATCTGCTGCAACCGTGGTCACACAACTTTCTTACAACCTTCCGTTGAAACACTGACAGGCAGGTCAGTGATGGAATTAAATTTCAAAATTCAAACGTCGATCACTTGAGCTACTTTTTAAATTTTAAATAAAATTTCATCACTGGGTGCCCACATGATCTCATTGAGGGTCAGAAGAAGAAAAGTGTTGTGAGTTGTGACCACAGCAGATACAGACACGGGTGGGAGACATGCCCCACCCCAATGGTTCCACGCATATTTACTAAAACAACCCCTATAATTTGTAACTGTTTTATTTTATTGACCTTTTGTTTGCAACTATTTGTATTTCTGTGGGCATGGACCCAGTTTTTTTTTTTCCTTTTCTTGATTAAATTACTTGGTGTTATGGTCAAATCTTGGACCGTGAAGAAGTTGTAGTTTTAGATCAACCACTTTGTATAAAATCTGTACTACTATAAAAAGTAGGAATAGCTTTTAAAATTTTTAGAATTTTTGTTGACTAAAATACTCCCCCCCCCCATTTTTGAAATATGGTCCTTTTGTTGTAGGGGTAGAAAATGTAAATTGAATACTATTATTGAATGCATTCAATTCCTTCTCATTAAATCTTACAAAGCCTTAATTTATTTTGATCACTAAATTCCTCTAATTAAATTTATATATAATAAATTAATAATTCCAATAACATAAAAAATTACACTTTTAAAATCTACATGGGAAAATGGTGTCTACATCTAGGTGGTGGTAAGAAATTAAACCATTTTGGGTCAAATGGGTCAATTCATGTTGCCACAATTAATACTAACGGGACCCATGCAATGCATAGGAAAATCTGAAAGATTTAATAATTTTATTTATTATTAATTAATATTAAATTAATAATCAAAATTTCTTGTTAATTAACTAAAAGTATTCAAAGCTATTGTTAATATCTAAAATTTTAATAATTGTATTTTCATTTAATGTTGATTTACAGAAAATAATTATTGTTAATTTAATATGAATAAGTATTTTTTAATAAATTTATTTTTATTAATAATTTATAGTAATTTTAATAATTCTTATTATTTTTATTATTTTTAAATGAAAATTTGATTAACTTTAAATAAATAAAAATAATTACAAAAACTAACATTTTTATTAGTTTAACTAATAATTAACAATTATATAGGAATGGCAATGGGGTGGGTTAAGGGTGGGGCACCCCATCCCTTCCCCTACCCCATAGTCAAGACACTCTACCCCAACACCACCCCGTCCCCAGTGTTAGGCGGGTTCAAGGCAAGGCAACCACTCAATGTCGGGCAAGTTCAGGGGCAAGACACTCTACTCCTCATCAAGGATGGGGAATCCTCGAATTTCCTCGTCCCGTCCCCAGTATTGGGCAGGTTCAAGTAGAGCTGTCAATCGGGTCGTGTTGGGCCGAGCCTTGGGCCATGCTAGGCTGCGAACAAGGCCAAGCTATGAAAGGTCATATATATATATGCTTCTTAAATTATTAATAAATATGAATTTACTATTAGGAAATATAAATTAGTTTATTAATTTATTACTAAATTAATATAATATTAGTTTATAAAGTATATTGAAAATAAGACATTTTTTGTATAGATCGGGCTTCAGGCTCGAGCTTGAACTTTGGGCTTTATACAAGGGTTGGGCTCGGACTCAAGATCTAGGCCTGATGGTTGGGTTGGGCTTGGCCTCAGGCTTGCACATTTTCTGTTGATAAAGAGGCCCATGTTAATTATACAATTTTGATTTTTTATAAATTAATTTTTTTATTTAACTATAGTCTACTATAAAAAAATATATAACATTTCTATATATATATATTAATATAAAATTTGTTATTTAAATATTATATAATAATATTTATCATATATGCATATAACTTCCAAGTTGAGCTTATTAGGGGTTGTATAGCTTGGGCCCTATCCGCTAAAGCCATCATTGGACTCTAAAAGCTTGATACCCAATTATACTTCGGATCTGATTATCCCTAATAATGTGTGGACGTGGCTAATTATCCTTGATAATGTGTGGGCATGGTGCATATCTCAGTTAGACCTAACTCAAAAGAAAATAGTTGCTTGAGCCTGCAAATTTTTAGATCTAATTAGGTTAGGTTAAGTTATAAACGATTTGTTGTTTTTATTATTAATTATTAAAATATTGTTAGCTATTAAAATATTGTAATTATTAAATTACTGTATTTATTTAAAATACAAAAATTTTTCGAAATTATCACATTTTCAGAAATATTGCTAATTTCTTGCCTAAAACTAATAAAATGTAATTTTTTGGTAATTAAATGTAATTTTCTACTATTTATAGCTTGAATTATAATTACTGTTAGTTACAATTTAAAAATAATTATTGTTAATTATATTACTATTAATAATATAAATACATTATTTTTTCGTTATTATTCAGTATTTTTTGCAATAAAATATAATTAATTTATTTTTTAATTATTTTTAGTATTTTAATTAAGCTTTATGTTTTCAGAACTTTTGGATTTTTAATTGATTTTTGGTGTTTTTTCATTATTATTCAGTAATTTTTGCATATGTGTATTTTTCAATAATTTTCAGTATTTTAATCATTTATTTTTGCATATTATTCACTACAAAATTAATTTGCATTTGCTTTCAGTAAAAATAAATTAAATAACTAAATAAATACCATCATTAATATAAAATTCAACTAATTTTCAATATTTTTCAATAATTTATGGCTCGGGTATTTTTTAATAATTTTTGTTATTTTTTAAAAATAAAATACTTTTAATTGTACTTTTTAATTATTTTCAGTAAATACCCTTATTAATATAAAATATTTTTTATTTTTCAATAATTTTTAATTATTTTTAGTATTTTAATTATGTTTATGTTTTTCAGAATTTTTTGGATTTTTAATTAATTGTTGGTATTTTAAAACTATCAATTAAGGTCTTAACTCATAAGTTATCTAATAATATTATTAAAACTATCAATTAATATTTTTATATTTGAATTTATTATTTTTATTGGTGTTTATTAAGTTGGACTTTTAAGTGGAATTGAAACACATTTTTAACATTTACTAAGTTTTGTTAATATTTATTTTTAGTGTAGGTTTAGTGGATTTTTAAATTAATAATTTTTTGATTGTTTAACCTCAACCTATTTATATTATTTGATTTATATCATGGTTTTCAAAACCGGACTGGACCGAAAAAGCCAGGGTGATGGGTTCCGTTTTACCCCAGAACCGTTATTTTGTCAAAAACCGTTGATTTGGTCAGCAAACCGTTGACCTTGGAGGTCAAACCATTTGAACTATCCAACGGTTTTGTTCGCTTTTTATTTTCTATTTTTTGTTAAAACGGGTTGTCCATTCGGTTCAAATGGTCGGACCATTCAACTTGAGAACCAGACCTTTGACCGATTTGTTGTTCGGTTCGATTTTAAAAATATTGATTTATATTATTACTATAATACACCAATTTGATATGTTCCCAATACCAAAAATGATGAGGCATTACTATAAATAATATAGTAATAATACACCATGACGGATTCGGCCGATGATAATACTAAAAATGATAAAAATGATGAAATGATGACGGGGATGTACTGTGGGAAATTATCTTGTGGGGGTTGATTTCAACTAGAGAGATGCATGGGAATGACAAACGTCTCCTGCAAAAGCTTTTAGCCTTTTATTACAAATTCATTTGAGTAGTTCAGATATTCTTACGTGGATTTAAAAAAGGAAAACTTGAAAATTTGAGAAATTAAGAAAAGGGTGGGGGAGAAAAATTTGAGAGACGTGCTGACATATATATATATATATATATATATATATATATATATATATATAAAAGATGTGAAAGAACCCTAAAATAATAAACTTGGGTGATGGGTCACCTGATGAGATTGGATGTAAAAAAAGGGATGACTTCCGAGACTACGCGGAGCTTTGCTACAAAGAGTTCGGTGATCGCGTGAAGCACTGGATCACTTTAAATGAGCCATCGACCTTTAGCTCTTCCGGCTACGCCACCGGCACCTTTGCTCCCGGCCGATGTTCTTCATGGCTGAACCGAAACTGCACCGGTGGGAATTCCGGGACCGAGCCCTACGCCGTAGCCCACAACCAGCTTCTTGCTCACGCTGCCGCTGTGAAGGTGTACAAGGAAAAGTACCAGGTAATTAAGTTAATTTCTGGTGGGCCAAGGATCGTGGATCGACTGTATCATCTGTATGGTTCATGTCCCAGAGGTTGACGCATCTCCATTATTGGCAGGCATCTCAGAAAGGCAAGATTGGAATCACGCTGGTGGCACCTTGGTTTGTGCCCTTCTCCGACGACCAATCCAGCAAAGATGCTGCTCGACGAGCTATGGATTTCGTATTTGGATGGTGAGTACTAGTCATCTGCAGTACTCTTTTCTCCTATCTGATCAGTGCAAGCCGGAAGAGAATATGATTTTTGATTACAGGTACACCGACCCATTGACCTATGGCGACTATCCAGACAGCATGCGAGCTCTCGTGGGAAATCGGTTGCCAAAATTCTCACAAGACCGGTCCATTGCAGTGAAGGGATCGTTTGATTTCCTGGGATTAAATTACTACTCTGCTGCTTATGCAGCCAACGCTTCCACCTCCAACTCTGTTCCCGCAAGCTACCTTATCGATTCTCGAGTGACTTTGACATCGCAACGGAACGGTGTCCCCATAGGTCCAAAGGTATTATTGGTTTCATATCAGCATCTAATCGATCAATCAACTCATTCTATTAAATAAATGGATTAATTAGCAGTTTATGTGTTTGATTAATTTACAGTCTGGTTCGGATTGGCTTTATGTATACCCAAGAGGAATTCGAGACATGTTGCTCTATGTGAAGGCACGATACAATAATCCAACCATTTATATTACAGAGAATGGTGAGCAAATCACGTACAGTTGATCTGCGCAGTTTCTTTCTGTAATTAATTTTTCCCATCTCATGAAACGTTGATGGTCACAAGTGGAAGCTGCTGATATATATTATTTTCTTCAATTGATTTATTTGTCAGGAGTTTCAGAGGTAGACAACAGTACATTGACGTTGGAGGAAGCCCTGAGAGATGACTTGAGAATAGATTATCATCGTCGCCATTTCTGTTTCCTTCAAAGAGCCATTCAGTGAGTTGGGATTCCTTCGTTCTTTTCTTTGTGTTTTCCCCTTCCATTTCATTCTTGCATTGAAATTGAAACTACAGAAGATTGATGGGTACTGAGAAAACATTAATGTGAAAGACTGAAGTGAACGAATGTTGGTTTTTTTTTTTTTTTGACATACAGGGAGGGTGTGAAAGTGAAGGGATACTTTGCATGGTCGCTTTTGGACAACTTCGAATGGAGTTCTGGTTACACAGTTCGGTTTGGTATTAACTACGTGGACTACAAAGATGGGTTGAAGAGATATCCAAAGCATTCCGCCTCTTGGTTCAAAAATTTCCTCCAAAGATAGCCCAGGCCCAGGCAATTACTATGACTCTTGTGCTGATCGAGTAAATAAGCAGAGGACATCTATCTGCTCTTTTCTTTTCCCTTTTTGACTTTCTTTATGTCTTAGTTAAAAGCAATAATAAATTACCTAGAAGGTGAAGCCCAGTTTTTTAAATCTTAGTCCAGTCCACCCAAATTGTAGCCCCAACTTCGCTAGGCATGTCAAGACACTCCTGTATGAGTGTGACTGTGTGAGAAACTGAGGATAGCAAATTTGGGCTGCCAAGCCTACCATCAATTTTGATTTTGATAAGTCATGCACTAATTTAATGATCAAGAATTGAATAATGAATCAAGAACAATTGCCTTAAGTACTTTTGGGATCTTCTACCCAAAAAAGTACTTTGGGATCGGATATGATTCAATGGGCAAATCATACACAACATCAGCAAAATGGGTTGCCATTTTGTTCCCTTGACAAATAGCAAGAAGGTAGGAGAGATCGGCTTCTGCTTCAAGGAATTAAGGAATTGTATGAACGGTATCAACACGGTCTTATGAACATTGAAGCGAACCAAATTCCGAAAACCTAGAAAAATTAGATAATCACCCAGAAAACAGGATCCAATTTCGGTTTTTGCTTTTACAAACATTGCGTTCATCCTCAACGTATTTCGTGGCGAAAAGGTCTTTCATCCTCTTCTTCCTCATAAGCCTTGCTACCCAGAAATTCCATGATCCAATATCTATTTATTATCATTATTATAAGAGAAAATTATTACACCATCATATATATTGTACCTAAAATTAATCATTTTATTGGAATTTAATATCTTGGTCAGTATGCAAGATTTTATGTGCTCCTAACTCTTACATTACAACTCAAAACTTTGCTTTACGTTTCAATCTCAACCAGCCCCTCAGTTTCTTATTTAATCAGTATTTGTTAGAACTATTATTGTAATACTTTCTATGGGAAGACTTTGATAAAAAAAAAAATTGCCAATAAAGTAATAACTTGGATGAATATTTTCATGAGCACCTAGAATTTTCCTAAGTTACGGGTTTGCTTGAAAGCACGAAGGCTAATAAAGGTTCTTTTTGATTTGTGAGCACCTAGAATTGCCATATATTAATAAATTTTATTTTATGAGCACTGGAGACCATTGTAGTCATTGTAATGGTTGAAGTTTATAACATTTAGAGAAAAAAGAAAAATTAAAAAAAAAATCGAAGAGAGACAAACAGAGAGAGAGAGAGAGAATGATCTTATTGGGGACTGGTGAGAGTTTATATTATTTAGATAACCTTGTTTTAATATATAGATATAGATTTGGGATTAATGGGATGAGGGAAAATGGAATGAACATTGACTATTGGAGAGAGAGTAGGGGTGAGCATAGATCAGTTCAATTTGGTTCCGAGGCCAAACCTAGAACTTACCCTATAGGTGTCAGTTCCAGGTCTTTGGAACCAGGGCCTACTTAGAACCTACCCTATAGGGGTTAGTTTTAGGTAGGGGTGTTCATTTGATCAGTTTGGTTCAGTTTGATTCAGAAAATGGAGCTTAACCAACATTTCGGAACCGAACCAAACTGAAATAGAGTCGAAACCAAAGCAAATTTAAATCGGTTTGATTCGGTTTTAATTTGGTTAGTTAAGATATAAATGTATTTTATATTTATATTAATAATTATTATTAAAATATATCAATATCTATACTTAAAATGCATATTATATATTATTATTAATATAAATAGTAATGTTAATATTAATATGCATATTTATAATTAAAAATATAAATATATGTATTTAATTTGGTTTATGGTTCGGTTCGGTTGACTTTTTTCTCAAACCGAAAACCAAAATTTCTAAAATTTAAAAACCAAACCGAATCGAAAATTGAAACAACCAAACCAAATTAACTAATTCGATTCGGTCCGGTTTGGTTTGGTTTTCAATTTGACAACTGAATTTGAACACCTAGTGTTCTAGGGTCAATTTTGGCCCTGGTGGTTCTAGGGCCTACCCAAGGTAATTTAATATTATAATTTAAAACTTATATTAATTTTATTGAATAAATTAAGTAATTTAATATTATGTTATATTAAAAAATAATAAGTATGATAAATAATTATTATTTTTATTAATGATTGACAAAATTTAGAGAGAAAAAGAAAGTAAAGTTGCGATTGGAAACAAAGTAAATCCAAATCTATAAGCTATAAACTGACATTTTACCTATTTAATTAAATACAAATCGGTTCACTTCTTTATGTTTGATTTACTCTTTTCTCGTTGGGCACCAATGACTTAAATGAATAAGGAAACTTTTGCCAACACTTGGAAACTTACACCGATGAAAAAAGTATTGAATGGATCCGTAGGCGTTCTGACCGCTGGATTTCTTGAAGATCCCTTTTATCACCAAAGTACTTAGATCAAAAGCATGAACCCTCCATACCTTGGAGATCCCTTTTAATCACGGGAAGGATTTGATAGATTAACACATTCGCAGGGATAAAGCCACTCCCAACCGCCCAAGGGGATGCCGACAATCCTAGAAAGATCTTAGCTGAGATGCTTGAAATCCACTGGTTCCAAGATCTCTTTAGGCTATCGGTGTTACAGGAGTTGTATTGTCAGGGGTGGTTGTTATAGAACTGAACCCAAATATAATCGAGTAGCCTGGTATTCAGGGCATCGTTGAGATACCTATCGGGAAAAGGGCACTGAGTAATTGTCTGATATACCCCTAAAAGCGATGTAAATCCTAATCCAATCCAAAATTGGCCCATTGACGCCCCTATTAACGCCCATACATCATACCACACGTGACTACATGAGGTTCTAGAAAAGTTATAGCTACTTGGGCTAAGCAATGGGCCAGGGTGTTGTGTTAACTTTTCTATTTATATAGCAAAAAAAAAAAAAAAAATCTGAAAGTTGCTTCAAAAGGTGACATTCAAAACTTCTTGACCATCCAGGCATATCAAAAGGCAATGCCAGTTGTTTGTAGCATCACATTTCAGCCCTTGGTAAATAGTCATAAGCTCAGCCTCATCTGCTAACCCCAACCTTCCTCCATAATTAAGCCCATCAAAAGTAGTTGGTTAGAAAACCAAAGTCTACCATAAGAACTGATATTAGATGAACTTGTGCGGGCCACCATCATAGAGTAGGATAGCAAATATATTTATTTGAAAACAATAATCGACAAAAGGTTGTACCAAATCGACCTGTTGATATAAATTAATATTTAATAATTCACACAATCAATATGCATCATACCACTTGATATAAATTACAAGTAAAAAGGATTTGAAGTTAAATCTTTAGGCTGATGGGTAAATAAATTTATCAGTACGTCATGCTTTGATTATTTGTCTTTGTTATATGGGTTTTATTATCGTCATCATCGTTATTATTATTATTCACACAATCTTTTCAATTCTTTGGTACAGCTCAGAGAAATGGAATCCCTATTGGTCCAAAGGTGTGAGAGCTAGCCTTATTGTTTTTTTTTAATTTTTCCTTCGCTTTGGTTTTTAATCTTCATGACCTGATCTCGAAGAGTTCATGTTTCAGAAATATGGATCAAACCCAAGTTAATTATTTAGCCAAAAAAACAATTATCACACAAAATTACAAATACGCTAACAAGAATAACCCAAATTTCCTGATTTTCTTTCTTTGGGATGGATAGACTCAAGTCTGAAGCTGATATAGATGTTTGCAAATGGAGCAATCTAACTAATTAACATAGAAAGAAACCAATTTCATTTTATATAAATTTTCAGACAGCAGTATCTTGGCTCAGTGTTTATCCCAAGGGAACTCGAGATCTTCTGGTGTACACAAAGAGAAGATATAAAAATCCAGTTATTTACATCACGGAAAATGGTAAGAGGCTACTGATTTCACTTACACATTGCAGTACTGCAGGCAGCCATGATTGATATTGAGTTAAAAAGCAATTCGTTGAAATGGAATTCTTTGTGCAGGGTTCCCTGAATTCAATGACAGTACGCTGTACGCTGACATTGGAGGAAGCCCTCAAGGATAATGCCAGAATGAACTTCTACCGTGACCACCTTGCATTTCTTCTGAAAGCCATTAATTGAGTATTTTAAAATTGAAATATAAGAATACTACCAAAAAATAAAAAAGATCATAGAACCAATTTTATTAAAACCAATCAGAAAACAGAAACCACATTTTTGTCAGGATGGTGAATCACTGGTTCAACTATTTGGGTCAAGTTAAATTGGTTGAGCCGGAACAGTACAAATTGAACAATAAAAATAGATGAATTAAAAAATTATAGTAGGTTTGTATATCTTTGATATTATATTTATCATATTAAAAACATAAGTATAATAAATAAGAAGTATTGTTTATGGCTACAAATAAGTTGGACCAGATCTGATTCCAATCCGAATTCCATATGGTAAGAATTGGATTTGGATATCTCCCTGATCCTAACAAATCAGACCAAATAGGAAAAGTTGATCCATTTAGTTAATGGGTCGAATTCAATATACCCCAATTTAATCCGTTAGTTATGAAATATTATATATATTATATCATTAAGTTTTTTATTACAATTCAAGTTGAATCCGATTTGGATATCTGATAAAGTATTCAAATTTGTATCATAATTTTGAAAATATGATGGGTTCTTAATAAATTCAGATCAATTGGATTTATCATCGAATTTGGATGCATATATCAATGTGATCCGATCCATTTGCAGCCCTAGTATTATTATTAATGATGGAGATGGTTAAAAGTACTAAAACACAAAACCAAAAAGAGAACAACAGCTCTTACCCGTGACTCATTAACCGGGTCAAGTGGTTTGATGATTAAATTGGTTGGGCCATGGGATCATAGGGAGGTTCTTTTTAAATTTAATTATGTACTGCATGTAAGCTTTGTTAATAGATGTTGAATTGAACTTTATTGCAGGAAGGGTGTGGAGGTGAGGGGATATTTTGCATGGTCGCTTTTGGACAATTTCGAATGGGCTGACGGTTTCACTATTCGATTTGGTATCAACTATGTGGATTACAAAGATAGATTGAAGCGATACCCTAAGCAATCCGCCATTTGATTAAAAAAATTCCTAAACAAATAGCCAAATAGGGGAGTAAAAAACTTGTATAGGAGTGTAGATTCATGAAGCCAAATAAATAAATACTAATAAATAGATAAATAAAACCTTAGTATGTTATTTGACTGCAATTGCTTTGGCTTAAAAGGGTGTTGCCACAAATGGCAATATCTGTGCTTCTCAAGGTATCTGCCCCT